ATCTAGTATATAGTACAAACGATAAACTCTTAACTCATATATCAATTCCAATTACACAAAATATCAGATGACATTAAAATCACCAACACATCTCAAACCAATTCATCTTCTCTTCTAACAACAAATCACCAACACATCTCAAACCATTTCATCTTCTCTTCTAATAGACTTTTGACACGACCAGCCACGTAAAAAACTAAAACCATAAAAACAACTATATAATAATTCCATAAAAACAACTATATAATAATTTTATCGTTTCCTCATAATGATATATTTGAACCACAAAACCAAACATGATATTTTATAAACCTTCTTATCTTCTTATCATTGATGTTTGATGATTTACTCCTAACTTGATAATCCCATAGATGAGATATAAAACCGACATGGTTTACTTTAAAATTTCCATTTAATAATATTTAATACATTATAAGATCCGCAGGGTGGGGAAGTATGCTATAAAAAACGACATTCACTGCCCTTCCACACTCCCATAGTCTCATCCAACCAAAAGGAATCCCACCTCAGGCTCAACTGTTCTTCCCCTTCTTCCTCTATATTTTCAATTCCTTCCATTACCACAATCTCAATCTTTATACCATAGGAAAACGAACCCTCTTTCAAATCTGCTTCCTTTCTCACTATTTTTTTTTTTTTTATAATTTTTCTGTTCATCTTTCTTTAATCGGTTTCTGGCTTCACGTCGGCGAGTTTTGGCTGTGATGGGTGTGAGCACCAGGTGTTCCCATACCTCCCATATCACCGAGATCATCATCACCAGCTTCTTCCGCCACAAGATTTAAACAAAACCCATCTACAGAATTCGATAATATCAAGTTTTTTATTAACCCAAGATTAAAGAAAATCGGACCAGGTATCTGATTTTGAAATCCCATAAAAATTTATGGTTGATTTGAGTGGTAATTCCTAAGTTCTAGTGGGTGTTCTTCTGGTGTTGAAGCCATGGCAGCTCGAAGCTATCTCTACGGTGGTGTTTCCGGTGGTGAAGCTGAAAGTGGTGGCTCTGTTCTGCTGACAAACAAAAGGGTTCATTGTTCTTCTTCTCTTAACCCTGTTGATTCCTTCTTCGTCTCCCGATCATCTCCTTTCCAGGGTAAGATAATTATATCCATGTTGACTTTTTTTATATTGACTTCATTCACGTTGCCTACTTGCAGATCCAATTGTGTGTTGGAAAATATAATTGATAAGGTGTTTGATTGTTTCATGATGATTTCTTGTGTCCCACTTCTCAAAGTTCTTATCTTCATGATATTCCCACGCCACAATTGAATTCCCTGTTGATTAATCATTTCTATCTGACCTTTTCGTACAATTAATCTGTCTGAAACCTGATCAATGCTCTATGTACCCTATTTTTCAGAAGATTAATGTTTGTTTGCTCTTCTATTTACAAAAATCGACAAAATTTTCGTGTCCCAAGATGAATTAAATGTGGTTTGACTTGCAAGAAGCAAAAATCTTGAATCTTGATGGTTGACTTTTGTGATCAATATTTAATTTGACCATTAGCTTTGTCGATATTTCCTGATCTTCATATGTAAATGCAAAAAATAATAATAATAATAATAATAATGATTTAGATAAATTGGGTTTCTAGATTAGAAAGTATCCGACGATATAAAAATCTTGGAAGGTTTCTATCGATCCATGAATAATATTATATCATATTTTCGATGTTTCCTTTCAGGTTCTCGATCAATGGTTAGCTTTGAAGATAGAGGGAACGGATCCGGTGGGCAATTTTTTCAGTCATTTGATCATGAAGACAATGGAGATGATGAATACGATGAATACTTTCAGCAGCCTGAGAAAAAAAGACGGCTCACGGTTGACCAAGTACGGTTCTTGGAGAAAAGTTTTGAATTAGATAACAAACTGGAGCCAGACCGAAAGATTCAGCTAGCCAAAGAACTCGGTTTGCAGCCCAGGCAAGTTGCCATCTGGTTTCAAAACCGACGTGCACGTTGGAAGACTAAACAACTAGAGAAAGACTACGATGATTTGCAGGAAAGCTACAATAAACTCAAAGCCAACTATGAGAATCTTGTAAAAGAGAAGGAAAAACTAAAATCAAAGGTAATAAACCAAAACATCAATTACATAATTCTAGCCACTAGGGCCTAGTGTATGTAGTACAAATGGTTCGGCACAAGTTTCAATTTCAATGTAGATTAGCAGGGCGTCTTTCAGATTTACATCTCACATGATATCATACTCGGGGTTGCTGGTAGAAAAACACTTTTTTTTTTTTTTGGAAACATCGTTTACATGATTTCTAGAGTTCATGCAAAAAGATAATTTTTCTAGCGGCCCTAAGCTGGCCCACATCGTCATATCCCAAAAATATGATCATGTAAGATGTAAATGAAGTACACAAGTAGTTGGCAAAAGAATGCAATGCCTATAAGGTGCTAAATCCACATTGGAATTGAAACTCTCATATTGGTTCTTCAAGCATACCACCCCAGAACCGAACTATAACCACTCAATTACATGATTTTGATCCTTTTTATTCTAAATCCGATTCGAATTTTGTTTATAGGTTGATGAATTAAGTGATAAGCTGATGATTCAAGAGAAAGGAACCTCGGAAGCATCGAGTACTAAAAGCCCGTGCGAGCCACAACTGTGTGAACCGGTACTTGAGGAAGATTTATCGAAGAACATGAACCCGGCATGCGGGCCCGAAGGGGATTTAAACGTGGTGTTTGAAAGAGGCGATTCCTCTTATGTATTTGAACAAGAACAAAGTGACGGGTCGTTGGATGAAGAAAATGATAACTTTGGGAAGATGTTTCTACCATCAATGGACTGTTACACATCGCCAAAGATCGAGAATGTGGACCCACATGCGGTGAACTCTTATTATCTTGGGCTTTCGGGAGATGATCAAGCATTTGGTTTTTGGTCTTACTAAATCAAGTCAGTGGGGGCATAACTCGGTTGTTATTGAGGTTCCATTAACTCTGGAAGGGAAATAATGGCCTGAATCCAAGGAGAATTGGTGTTGGTTTGTTTTTGGTCTGTTGTCTTCTATATTTTTAAAGTTTGTGTTGTCTGGTTTTACCTTTTATAAATAAGTGCCAAATGTTTTTGCATTTTCATTGTAAGTAAATTGCTTCATAATATTATTTGTAAACAATGTTACTATACTCAACTTTTTTGGGAAACGGTATATGAAGAATCTATATTTGCTTAGTTATTTGAGTTGCTTATCAGTGGGTAATCGATCAAAAATGGATGATGAGTACCTGGATTCGTGAAGCAGCCTGAGGCTGGAATGTAGATTGAACCCTAAAGAGTCTCCGGTTGGGACTTGACTTTGTAGGAGAGTGTAAATGACTAAGGCTGGAGTGTGTGCCACAGAGTGGTATTCAATGAGAGAGAGAGAGAGAGAGAGAGACAGAGAGAGAGAGAGAGAGAGAGAGCTCATTTTCTACCGCAACTCGAAACTGCACACCCCAAACTGCATAGGGGGGTACACTGCGGTTTCACATGCCATATAGGTTGAAAGCCGCACTCCACTTTCTAGTCTAAGAGCCAATGACAAAAGTATTAGGGTTATATAGGGATGAGAATTTGGCCCGAAAACCCAAAACGAACAGAAACCCGAATCGAACCGAACCGAATTAGGCCAGAATAAGCAATTCGATTCGGTTTTTGGGTATCTATATTAAGCTTATTCGGGTTTCGGGTTATTCGGTTCGGGGTACTCGAATAAGGGCTTATTCGGGCCAAATGGACCGAACCAAATTAGAAAAGTCACATAACTCAAATTTTTTCCCTTGATCGATAGCTTATTCGGTCTTGTAATTATATACTTATATATAGATTTTGGATGTTTTGGTGTTTAATGTTTAGTGGTTAATATGTTGCTTCATAACTATATCTTAAGGTTTTGGTGTTTGTATTTTACATTTTAATCAAAAATAGTTAATCCATGTTTATATTCTTAGTTCACAAATTCTAACTCTTTTTTGCACCTTTGGAACAATTATATATACTTTGTATTATTTTTAATTAACAAATTTGTTTCTTTGAAAGATTTGTTATGAAATCATAAAATACAAAAGTCATACAAAATACAATAGTTATAATCACATTATAAATGTTATTTGGGTTATTTGGGTTATTCGGGTTATACAATAATAATAGGTCATTGTACATGTTATTTGAGTTATTTCGGGCGGAACCGAATCGAACCAAATAAAACCCGAACCAAACCGATCCGTATTGCTTATTTGGTTCAGTTTTTGATTCATACAAATACCCTTATTCGGTTTTCGGGTTATTCGGGTTCGGATCGGTTCGGTTTAGTTCTGGCCCGAATAACATCCTTAGGGTTATATATATATATATATATATATATATATATATATATATATATATATATATATATATATATATATATATATAAGGCATGGAAGTTGGGAACGGTAAGTACCTTGTATGTCAAGATTAGGATTCTTGACAACATATGTGTTGTAATAAAATTGGATAGTGATCATTGGCTCATCGGCTATACCCTTTACTATTGGAATATGGAGTCGGCTTGCATGTGGCTGCCAAACATGCCTAACGCCTTTTGCATCCCTTTCATCCTTTGCACCTAGTAGTCCTGAAATACCAGAAGGAAGTGGTAACTCATTACCCCCTAAATAAATGATATGTTTAGAGAATTTTTGTACGAATTTATTTAATTAGGGAAAACTTGATAGGTAAAATACTTTCTGAAATGTACATTTTTTTTTTTGTAAAATAAACTCTTATATTTTATTTTTTGTAACAATGCAATCCTTGTGACCGATTATATCCGGTATACCGGTCATATACGATTTTTTTTTAAGGAAAATGACTTGATAGGGTAAGATACTTTTTGAATTGTACACATTTAGTCATTATTCCTTTTTTTTTTGTAAAATAAACTCTTATACTTTATTAATATGTACACATTAGGTCATTTTCACCGGATACTACATGTTTTGCTTATGTGAAAGCACAAGTGTCACTAAATAGCAATTAATTAGCTTAGTCACCGGAGGTGGGTGATTCTCCAGCAACAAGAAAAGGGCGACGACCCTTCTCTTTTTCGTCTCTCTTCCTTCCGGTCGAACAGCAACAGCCAAACACCCTTTACCTGTTGTGTTTCTCCGATATGTCTCTCTTTGTCTCCATCTTTGAGATATGTTGTCAGAAAAAGAAGAAAGAATCAACGAAGGGGCTACCAGAGCAGCTCCTTGCCGCCAACTACCGTCTCTACTTCCTCCCCCCCCCCTCCCCCCTTTGACCTTGTAGTTTTTGTCATCATTCCTCCTTGCTACCAGTGATATGTAGGAACACACAAAGGAGTCGTTGGAGATCGGGGTTCTCCTTCTTTTTCATGATGAATAAAAGTTGGAAAAATCTCGTTGTGGATATGTAGATGTCATCTGGGTATTTCATTTCAACAAAATAAAAGAAAGGGAAAATGACTTGATAGAGCAAGATACTTTTTGAAATGTACTTTTAGTCATTATTATTATTATTATTATTTTGTAAAATAAACCCTTCCACGTCATCAAAACTTGTAGAATCCGGTAAAAAAGGACTTAATGTGTACATATTAATAAAGTATAAGTGCTTATTTTTCCAAAAAAAAAAAAAATAAGGACTAAATGTGTACATTTCAAAAAATATCTTACCCTATCAAGTCATTATCTCATTTAATTATTACCCAAAGAAAATTGTGGATACCTATAGGTATATTAATGTCACACATCAGGTGTAGTTCGTCACATACATGGAATTTGGCATGAAGCTCGCTGAAAGCGTACGTGCGAAAGGTATAATTTGTCTTAAGACGGTGATCTCCCCAATTACATGTTTGGGTGTGCTAAGGAGGTTGAACCTGACTTTGAGCATTTTACTATGAACTTGTCTAGGATAAACAGATCGAACCTAGAAAAATTGAAGACTAAATGCCTCCTTTGAGGCGATCTGTGAGGATCGGTCACCTATTTGTGAATTGTCTTGCTGCTAGAAATATGTAGAGTGATTTCTTGCATGGGTGTACCCTATAATAAAAAAGTTTCACTTGTTTACTTTGTAAAGTTGTACATTTAAATTCTTTAATGAAACTTCACATAATGGTGAAGGCTAAGTCAAAAATGTCACAAAGGCAAACAAGCATTGTGTATGCAAGTAATTCCTTATAAGTTCCAACTCCATCGTGTCATTAAGAGTGCTTCTAGGTATTACATAAATATCCTAGGGAGAACTTGATGGCTTCCTAGGTTATAAAACAACATAGTTACGTAGCAGAAACACAAAACTATTATATAAGCACATGCAACCTAGATCTCTGACTTTTCTCATTATAGAACCACACTATGAAAACTAAGAACTAGTCTAGTTATAATCGAACATAGATTAGGATACATACCTTTGCAATAATCGAATATTGAAACCCTTTGATCTTCAAGTCTTTTTTGGAAAGATGGGAGATGAGGATTTTCATAATTCTTTTTGTGAGTATACTAGAACCGAAAATTCTAATGGTTAGGTTCCCTATTTATAATTAGTGGATCTTCAGGATAAACCATAAGTTGAATAATAAAATATTCAAAATTTATCTATTGAAGTCTGTATCCCTGTTAGCTATCAAGAGGCTTCCAGAATGCTTCTAGAACCTCTCCAAAATTGTCCATCCTAGGAAGTTTCTATAATTGCCTCTCTTGTTTAATTATTGAACAATTACAATTTAGCTCTTGTATCTTTAATAAATTCTAATTATTTCAAAATTAATTAGAGTTAGTTATGCTATATATATATATATATATATATATATATATATATATATATATATATATATTCTTATGACCTTAGGAAGCAGTATACTATGGTGTTTCTGAATTTTGTCACCATATTTTCGTAAATTGACACTTCTAGCCCTTATCTTTTAACAAATTAGTCCCTCAGATGCTTTGGATATCCATATTGCCTATACACTGCCTCTTTCATCCAATGAGCTGCAACACCGCCTCCCTCAATTAGTACACTACTTCCAATATTCCCTAAACCCACCCAAAAACCGATCGACAATCGAAAATTGGTTGGTCGTTCTTTATCCTTCTACAAATTTACCTTTGTGTCTCACAACCATCTTTTTCCAATCGGATATAGGTTATACACACACCGCATTCTTTTTTCTTCATTCTTCACTGTTCTGAACTATATAGCAACTCAATCGAAAAAGAGAGGTTGAGCTTGATAGGTTAGGAACGGTTTGTTGGTCGAGGAACCATTCTTTTCGCTAGAGTACACCGCCTTCAGTAGTTGAAAAAATGAGAAGATCCAGAACCTTCCACAAATCTGACAATTTTGAAGAACCTTTTAGGGTTTCTAGAAGCCTTCAAATGATAATAAGAAAATAGATAATTAATTACATGATTTGAAATTTAAGATTTCTAGGGTTTCCAAGCAGCTATAAATAAGACCCTTGGGTTAGGTATTTTTTTCAACTCTTATACCTAGAGAATTTTGATTTCTCTTACTCTCATCCTCTCCCCTTTCTTGTATTCTAGATCTAGGGTTTAAGTGTGATCCATTAGATGCATCATCCTTTTGGTGCTAATCTTTCCATGACAAACAACTACAAGTGATTGAAGTGATTTTTTTACTACAACAAATCAAAGGTATGTAACCCTTATTTCATGATTTTGATTATATTAGGGTTCATCTAGTTTTGTTGTTCATATTATGTTGCCTTTAAGGTGTTATGACACAGATCCTTATAGGTTGCATGTGCTGCATCTTCCCTCTTGTAACAACCCGAAATTTTCGTTCGGTCAAACCCTAAAGTCAATCACTTCAAATTATAAGTCAAGTTCATTTTTAATTGTTTTTAGAAAATTTAAAGTTCGTTTGATTATTTTAATAATTATTCTTTAAACGAACGAGTGAAAGGAAGTGTCGTCTCGAGTCTTGAAATTCCAAAACCGAAAGTACAACGTACTTATGAAATTCACGGCCAAACTTTTATGTTTGGGCCGTAAATCCTTCCAAAACCGTAAACTCATGCCTTAAGCATGAGTTTACTCCCCAAAACACCTCAATTCTTACTTGCAATTTCAAGAGCAAACTCCAAACACTCTCAACTACCATCCCGTCTTTCACCCGATTTCCCGAAAACGTAAGTACATCTTGGCTTGATTTGTTGTTATATCATAACAACTAGTAATTATACATCATTTCATCCATTCAATTGTTGATTTTCATTAGATCTTCAAAACACCAAGAACATCAAAACACAAACTAGTGTTCTTGGACCTTAAACACCCAATCAAGCTCCGATCTTGTAAGTGCACTTGCTATAGCTTCTAGTATGCTTAGTATGATCCTTATAACACTTGAAAATCATCAAATGACACAAGAACAAAGGATTTTACGGCCAAGGATGTTCTTGGGCCGTAAACCCCTTTTTAAGTGGTAAAATGGACATTAGTCCCTTCCTATGCCTTGGATGCCAACCTTGAACCTTCCTAGAAGTGTTTAAGACCTTTAAAAACAATCAAGACATGTCCCTAAGAGATTTTACAGCCGTGAACACATAAGAATATGGTTATTTGGCCGTCAACTCCACAAGGTGGTCTTATTATGCCCCTAATGCTTTCCTAAGGCTTGGACTTGATCATTTGATGCCCAAACATGACTTGTAAGACCTCAAAACACAACTTGGCACTTAGTACCATGAGTTTACAGCCCTAAACTCATGGAGAAATGGTCATGGGCCGTAAACTCCATAAAGGGGTGGTTCATGGGCCATAAACTCCAATACCATGTCATATAACCCTTAGTTGCAACCCTTTGGTACCTATAGCACTTAAATCAAAGTGTTTCCATGACCTAGGGTGTCGTAACTTGATTAATTAGTTATTAATTGACTAATTAGATCACATATATGTTTATTATATGATAACTAGGACCATTGTGTGTGTTCAAGTCCTCACTTGACACCTAGCACCTTGTCCGACACTTCCATCCGATCCGCTTACTACAGGTGAGTTCATCCCCCTTGAATTAACCTTTTAAATGTTTATAAATGCTTTATGGGGGGATACAATTTAAATCATGATTAGTTATTATATCAATCACATGTGATTAATAACTAGCATGCAAATGGATTTACTATACGTTAGCTGTTTTACCAAACAGATTTCTTCAAATGACTTTCTTAAATGTTTTTATATGTTTAAAACTCTTTATAAAACCACTTTATAAATTGTATGTTTCTTTTCAAACTCTGTTACAAATGTATTTCAAACAAAGGTTTCCTTTATACTTAAACTGTTTATTCAAACAAAATACTTTCAAACCGTTTTAGAAACTGACATTAAGTCTAACTTTTCTTAGATATTAATCTTTTTCAACGGTTTTACAAAACTCCTTTTATGCTTTTATATTATCAAATACATGCCCATATATGTATAGTTATATAAGTAATGTTTAAAGGACTTAGGAAGGCTAAACTGCTTTATTTCCTTTTCCCCGTTGGGATGTGGTCTCGTAGGGTATCGGTAATCCATCCGAATCTCGTCTAAATATTATTTATATATCATGTATACATATGTAGACATAAAAGTGCCCTCAGTCAGTTCAGTACCTTTGGCTAGCAAAGGTATACCTTCATTGATACTTGTACATTTCTAGTAACTATTATAGGCCTAGTTAGGAGATACTACTTGCTATTCCTATTACAAGGAATTACACCAGAGTCAGTTCATTCATGAGTCTATACTAAATGCTATATGAAGAGATACACTTACTTGGATACACTTACTTGGATAGACTTACATGGATACACTTGCCAGGATACTTCTACATAGATACCTTGTTAAAAGCATGTATGTATATGTATAGTTATATAAATAATGTTTAAAGGACTTAGGAAGGCTAACCCGCTTTATTTCCTTTTCCACGTTGGGATGTGGTCTGGTAGGGTATCGGGTATCCATCCAAAGGTCGTTTGAATATATAGTTATATATCATGTGTACATTTACGGACATAATAGTTTTGATTAGTCAGTTCAGTACCTTTGGGTAGCAAAGGTATACGTTCATATATCCCTAGTAAACTATTATAGGTGTAGTTTAGGATTATATATGATTTAGTAATTAATATGGATTTCGACCTAGCGATTCGTTGAGGAAGTCACCTTTAGTTCCAAATGTAGAATAGGGACTACCAATCATATTATTACTTACTTACAGCGGGTCTCGTTAGAAGACTACTTACTTACTAGATGGGACTAACCATTCCAGCACCCAACTGTTAGCAATAGAGGTAATGAACATCTACGGATGCCTACGGTTAATACTTATACTAGGGTACCTTTACGGGACTAACCATTCCTACAACCTGCTGTTAGCTACAGAGGACAATGATCATCTACGGACGTTCAAGGTTAATACTATTTCGGCAGTCGCGATGTCGAGTTGATCCTAATACAAAAGGATAACACTTACATGGCTATATTTTCCTATTACTTTTATTTTGTGATACATTCACATAAACGACGAGGTAGACTATATATATTATTAATAGTAGTCATACAAAGGAAAGAACAACTTTGTTACTTTCAAAACAGGCTAGTCTTGGTAGAAGACTACTCTTTATACTAATAGAAATCATAGGGATTTGCTAGGGTATTCAAACGCTTTCAACTACTTTCAACCAGTTCATACTTATACAATCTTTTTCGAGATGTTTACAAGTCTTTACTTTATAGTTTTACAAATCAAAGACACATTAATACTTATGAATTCACCAGCTTTATTGCTGCTACTCGCTTTCAAAATACTTGTATTCTCAGGTCACAAATAGACAGGTACGACGATCAGGTTTTGTGAAGACAGAGAAATCA